TCTTTTCGCTTTCTGACATACTCTCTACATCTCCAGCTACATACGTTTTTCTCTGAAATTCTGCTGGCGTATGGAAATGACCACATAGGCAATTGGTTATATATATAATGTGTGTGAGTAGACGTAGCAACATCAAAGCCCATTCGAATGAAACGCGTCACAAGAAATTTTCCAGTTTGTTATATTATATATATTCACTTACGTTCTAATACCCTTGGGAAAGGTGTGAATCCTCTTCTTCTTCCTCAAGCTATGGGTAAATAGCAGGACAGACTGGGTTCTATAGCCTTGGATGGCAACTAGTCTAGGAGGACAACTAAGAATTCAAAACCTGCAGAGGGTCGTTTGGGGACCTTGTGGCACTTAGTGCACCAGGTCTCTGTATTCAGCCCTTCAAAAAGTGTGGATGGTCCTGCACGAAACCTTCACCACTATAATCAAATCTAATATGCTGTTGTCGGGCTGTCGGTTTCCTGGGAACTGATCTACTTGACCCTCATACGTCAAATTCGGCGGGAGAGTCGAGTATATATATAATGAAAAAATTCTCAGCGTTAACTTGTAGAAAAAAACTTTGTATAAAGGTAAAAGACACTAGGAAAACTGAATTATTAGCCAACGCGTTTCGTCCAATGTGTACGTTTTTTCAAGGCAAAAACAAAATGAATTTATTGAAAACAAAGTAACTATTGACAACAAACAAAATGTCCTGAGCAACTAGAAGAATTTAGAATGATTTGACGTAATTTTCAGTTGACAAATTCAAAAAAAAATAGCGTTTTTTAAATTCTAGTTGCTTGAAGAAAAAAAGTCCACATTGGACGAAACGCGTCGGCTAATAATACAGTTTTCCTATTGTTTTCACCTTCTATCAGTTGCGACTCTAGTTCATCAATGTTTGTTGGGCTCATTACAATCTTTAACAAAATATATTATTGGTATAGCTTAGATGCTAAAATGATTCCTTTATTCTAATTGAAATATATACATTTTAAAAATCTCTGTGCATGAAATTAATAAAAAAACACATTTTGGTATTTTAATATTGTAATAATTCATCTTAAAATATCTTAAAATGATTGGTTATGATCTTTTATCCTTGATTGAATCATCGCATTAGATAGTATTTTGACAACTGATAATAATATATCATCTCTCATATTTCTGCATTCAATCTTTACTTAAAACATAATTTCACTCTTTTTGTTAAAGAAATGAAAGCAGAATGTTTTGTTTTTTTTTAAAAAATGTGTGTATCTAGAGTGTGTGTTTGTATATGTCTATGCATTGGTGTGTTTATGTATCTGTCTGAATTTTTAGTTTAATTTATTGTATGTTTATGATCAGTACTGCTGACTGATATCATATTTCCTCAACACTCCTCCAATCACATATTTCTGCATTCAATATTAAAACATAATGTTTGGTAAAGAAATGAAAGCAGAAATGGAATGCATTAGTCATATACTTTTTTTTTTTAAAGAATAACGTGTTTGTATGTATGTCTATGCGCTAGTGTTTATGTTTCTCTGAATTGTTAAATTTATTGTAGGATTATGGTCAGTATTGCTGACTGATATATTTCCTCAACACTACCCCTATCGCACTCCTCACCCCAATCCCCCGGTCAACGAGTTAAGGCTGACACTTTCTTTGATTTTCGCTGACTTTAAGTTGTCTTTTTTTACATTGATACATTCCATTAGTTTCATCGTTCAAATCCTTGTTAAATAATAACAAGGATTTGAACGATGAAACTAATGGAATGTATCAAAGGAAGGATCAAAGTATTTGATTTTTTAATGGATCAAAGTATTTGATTTTTTAATGAATTTTTTTACGCCTTTTTAGAACATTTGAAATTTTGATTAAAAACTTGTTTTTCTTACCTTACTTGTTGTACGAACTTTTAGCTTAGCAACTTTTAGCCTCTTTTTGCGGTGACATTAATTTGGAAATTATTACAAAAATCAAATAATTGTCAGGTTTTAATTAAATTTTCAGGATTTATTCATAATTGAATAAAATTAGTATAATTTTTATTAGAAAATCTTGGCAAAAATACTTTTTACATGTGTTTCACCTCCTTACTTAATTTTATGAAAACTTGAAAAATTCAACGAGATAAGTTTTAGAGACTATATTAGTTAAAAGCAGAATTCTTTGAAGAATTTAAATCACTGAATCTTTTTTGCAAAATAGGACCCCGTCTTAGCGTAAATTTGTTCTGAATCGAAAAATAAAAGTACGCAATCAAACTAAGACATTATTTAATTAGGTAAGCTTTTAATTGCTTTATGTTAAAGACAATATTGTCTGAAGAAAAAATTTCGATGTAAAAGGAATTTTTACAAGATTTGTTTTAATTTTTACAATTTTAAATTGAATAATTTATAAAGATTTTAAATCTTTTAAATTCAGTTTCATAGAGATAACTCTTAGGAAATATTGTTAAGTAAAACTATATCTACTAATTATATGTTGTAAAGCTTATTACAATCTGACGACCCCGAATATTTTTAAAAGAATTTTGATGTTTTTAAGGGTTGTCCCCACTTGTGGGAAACACCTTCATATAAACTTTATCGTCTGCTCTACTATACTTAACTATGAACACGTTCAGCAGTCATTCGGCTGTGAATAAATCGATTAATACGTCAGAAAAACAAGACACCGTGATTAAGAAATGCTTATATACAAGATTTTATGCTATAAGTAAATATTTGTTAATTTAACTTTAAATTTGCTAATTTTCCTCAAATAACGTTTCAGAAATATGTATTTTATTTCTACAATATCTTTAAAACCAAGAATTAACTTTTGTTTACAAATGTGTCAAAATAGGCAATTTTATCGATTTTATTGGAAAAAAAATCGATCCGGATCAATATAATTTCTGTTTCAAATACACCACAGAATATTCTGTTGACTGAAAATAGTAAATTTTAAATCATTTAGCTTTCAATTAAAGCTAAAATGAAAGCTTTTTCATTTTTAAAAATTCATTTTAAACCTAACGTACACCGAATTAGTGGAGGTGCCTATATTCTTTCTTTTTCTTACGCATAGAAGTGCTTTATTTTGAATCCTTTCAAAAAGATCTGTAAATGAGTAAATAAATCAAATGTTATTTTAATATATATATATATGGTGGACTCTCCCGTCGTAAACAACGTATCATGGTCAAGCAGCTCAGTTCCTAGGAGCCGACAGTCCAGACACCAGCACATATGATTTGATTATAGGGTGGGGGAAGGCTTTGTGCTGAACTATCCACACTTTTTCCAATTACCCTTTTTGAAGAACCTAATACGGTGCACTACCTGCCACAAGGTCTCCAAACAACACTTCCGCAGGTTTTGAATTCAGAGTTGTCCTTCTCCTAGACCAGTTGCCACCCAAGGCTATAGAACCCAGTCTGCCCCGCTATTTAACCATAGCTGGAGGGAGAATTAATAACTGATTCGACTGGAATTCGAACTCTGCCCTCCAATTCCTCCGCTATCCACTACTCCACCGTACCTCCACAGCATACACACACACACACACGCACACACACATAAATGAAAAGATGCTGAAAGCTACTCGGCTCAACAATGAAGCTTTCACCCTCACTCCTCACTTCTGATGTTAAGCCACTGAATTGAATCGAGACCTTGGGGGGCTCTCTCTCTCTCTCTAATATATATATATGTGTGTGTGTGTGTGTGTGTGTGTGAAAATATATAGAAAATAGAAAAGAACTCGTTAGGTAAATAATCCAAAGTTCTTTAGTATTTTTGTTATTATTTTTAAAAAACAGTGCTCCATACAAAAGTAGAACCTAAATATAATAGAATTAGTTATTCCAAAAAAAATTGAAGATGGAACAGAGCTTGGTACTTTAATTCAATTTAATTCAAATAATTATATTGAAGTTTTCGGCTCAAATAATTATATTGAAGTTTTTCGGTTTTGAAACATGAGAACTCTTATGTAGCGATGGAATCATATTTTTAAATAAATAATTATATATATATATATATATATATATAAATCAGCAATAAAAGACAAAAACTAAAAACGATGGAATCTATTCTATTTGCTTTTGATTTCAGTCGTTTTAATTCGAGTAGCTGATCCACACGATAAGCTTATTTTATATGAGAGTGAGGTGAATATTACTTTGTGCTGGGAGGTGTATACAATAATCTACTGTAAACTAAGACGCTAACACACAAAACACGTATTTGATTTCGCTCCGTCTAACGTCTCGACCTATGCACCAACTCAAATTCCCGCATATCTGAAATAGTAACGGCATCGAATAACGTTTAAACAGTATTCTTTCCATCTTTTTCACTTTCCATTATCCAGTAACGATAACTAACCATTGGAAATGTTAAAGCGAAAGTGAAAATAGCAACTCGTTGCGAGAGTTGATTAAAACAATCCCAATCGTCTCTCTCTCTTTATCTCTTGTAATGTGAGGCATGCCGGGAAATGTTGCATCACTCGCTATATTTAAACACTAGCACCCGGCGTCAGCGGCCGAATATGAGCGAAGATGACGTCATGTCTATTTTTAGGCACAGAAGACCGAGCTCTCTCTTTCTTTGCCGACTCACCCGTTTCTCCTTTCATTCTATCCTGTTAAATCTGCCCGATGAGTCTGTGCCATATTTTCTCCGATCCGAGCGGCCATCCCGAAGTCAATTTTTCTCGTTCTTTCAATGGGCGTCGTCTGAAAAAGCAGAGGCTTGAAGCAGTTATGCCGCTTCATGTTATGTCAGACGAGTCACGTCGCTCGCATCTGCTTGGATCCGAAGAGAAGTCCGACGTCGCCAATTATATCGAACAGGAATTTTGTTGGGAATGAACTATTGGAATATCGTCTGCTACTTACAAACACCGATTCCTATCCTTTCTCTCTCTTGTTTTTCTTTCATTTTGTCTTCCTTCACTTATACTATATTTCGATTTCTCTCTCTCTCTCTATTCTGGTGGAATAAGTAGAATATATGTTCATTTATATTTTGACACACTTCTTTTATCTTCTCTTTCTCCATCTCTCTCTCTCTCTCTCTCTCTCTCTCTCTCTCTCCCTCTCTCTCTTCGCTCTTTTTGTCTCTCTTTCACCGTTGTGTGTGTGTCTCTCTCTGCGCTCTGTGTGTGTCCCTCTCTCTCTCTCTCTCTCTCTCTCTCTCTCTCTCTCTCTCTGCGCTCTGTGTGAATGTTTCTCTTTCTCCGCTGTGTGTGTGAGTGTTTCTCTTTCTCCGCTGTGTGCGTGAGTGTTTCTCTCTCTCCGCTCTGTGTGTGTGTCTCTCTCTCTCTCTCTTTCTCTCTCTCTCTCTTTCCGCTCTGTGTGTGTGTGTGTCTCTCTCTCTTTCCGTTCTGTGTGTATGTGTGTGTGTCTCTCTCCGCTCTGTGTGTGTGTCTCTCTCCGCTCTGTGTGTGTGTCTCTCTCCACTTTGTGTGTGTGTCTCTCCCCACTCTGTGTTTCTCCACAGTGTGTGCGTGTCTCTATCGCCCCGCTGTGTGCATGTCTCTCTCTCCCCGCTCTTCATATGTGTGGGTGTCTCTCTCTCCGCTCTGTGCGTGTGTCTCTCTCTCTCTCTCTCCACTCTGTGTGTGTGTCTCTCTCTGCTCTGTCTGTGTATGTGTCTCTCTCTCCCTCTTACCACTCTCACCGCGTTCTTTATCTCTCTCTCTCTCTCTCCGATCTCTGCGTTTTTTTCAGTCACTTTCCCTATTTTTCTTTGCAATTTTCATAATTTTCCATTTTTTTCTGTTTTTTTTCTCTCTTTTCTCTTTGTATATATCTCCCTCTCTGTTTTTTCTCTCTCCCATTATTATTCGATAACGAAAGAAATTTACAAACCTCACTTCAGCACAATACACAATACCCAGTAACAACCAAACGACATATTAGCCTTCGTGCTGTGACTCTGCAACAAGCGCCCATCCCACATTCTCGTCTATTTTTATACCACTCTCCCATATCGCCATTCAAAATTCATCACTTTTCAAATACGTATCCATACATATTACTTTACCTGTTTTCATCTTCTCATCATGGCTCTCCACAGCTTCCCGTTGTTTGTAGCTCTTAAATTTTGTTCTTATTTTATTTCTGCTTAACCCTGTTCCGCCATCCGTTTATCCAAGTTTACTAAGTACGTCATGCGCCATTTTCCTCTGTCTCTTGCCTTATCAATATTTATGAGTTTCTTTGCTTTGAAAATCAGCATTGGAAATCTTAGTATTCAATTCGGGTTTGAACTTCGAACACGGGCAAATACAAAACTATCTTCTTTACAAACCATGTCATAGTCTATACATTTTGGCCAATTCTTAGCGCAACATTTAATAAGCTATAATCTATGCTGTTCTACGACATTTATGTCTTTCTGTGTAGGATCTGTTTATCGCGTCGGCCCGAGTGCCATGATCTGGAATCGGGCTTTTTGATCGAGAAACCAACACAATCAGGTAGTATTATTCTGGAATAGGCTTTGCACTAATTCGACCCCAGACCCTCAAAGGAAGCCTGATGCAGAATTGGCCTGCTGCTGCTGCTGGGAGAATTCCGCCATTCATCTGTTGTCAGTACTCTGTGGGGTTGCACCACAGGCTGACTGAGAGTAACTGATAAAACAGTAGTTAAATAAAATGTAAGGTTAAATACGAAAGATTCAAAACTCGTGTTCTTTATCAGTCAAAAAATTAAAAAATGTGAAAGGAATGAAATGAAAAATCCAACAATTTATTGAAAAAAAGTTCGAACAAAGTAACTATAAACAATTTTTTTGCTATCCTCTGCCAGCCACAATGATGGAGAAAACATCACTTCGAAGTGAGACACGCTGCAATTGCCACTCCGTTTCGCGAAGCTCGTCCCTTAATCGAGACGCAATCGTGCCAATCCTCCGAAGGAACGCCATCGAACGAGGGCCAATAACCCCCAGAAGTCTCCACTGCCACAGGAGTAATAAAAAAATCTATCAGCAAGAGAAGAAGGAATGAAATTATTATGAACTGTCAGTATGCTGACGCATTGTTAGAGTGGAACACACCTATTCTATAGTTAATAGACTCTCCCACCTATAATAAGTAGGAGTAGTAAGAGTAACGTGGGAGTGAGTGAGTCAGTCAGACGATGTCGGACGACAGTTAGTCGAATACTAAAGTATCAGCGACCACAACTAGATTACTCTGCGTCATACCTATTATATCAAGTTCCTAACGTTTTGTACGTCGAACCTATTTTAGGACCGACTTAGTACAAATACAAGCCTCCACTGTGAAATCACTCCACAATATTATTTGGCGACGAAGATTCGAATTCATACGGAGGAAGAAAAAAAAATCGCTCGCCACAATAACTTCGGTGGCAAAGTTTCGGATTCCTTTTGAAAAAAAAAAACGTGAAAAGAACTAGATCACAGGAGCGTCCATTATAAATAAACGCATATTTTGGAAAATTGCTATGGATGAAACCGGGTCTAATTGGGTAGCTAAATAAAAGGTCATTTTTTATGTGTATTAAAAAGCTATTTTAAAAGTATTTAAAACAGAGCACTTTTCTATGCGTAAGGAAAGACATACACCAATTATACACACGCACGCACGCGCGCGAATAGCTTCGATTGTTTGGTCATAATGTAAATGCTCTCTTCCTGTAGGCCTCGACCGTGATGATGGAAAGCAACCGGATGGAATCAACATTAAAGGGGGTTAATCGTTGATTTTGGGATGCGACCTGTGCCGATAGATTTTCGATGGGTAATTTGATCAGGTCCGCGGTTGAGCCGGGGCCTGTCCCTTGGGACGCGGAGATTAAAAAAATAGTTAAATATTTTTCTCTGGCGAACAGGTTTATTTTTACTCCAGTGGCAGTTGAGACTTCTGGAGTTATTGGCCCTAGTTCGATGGCGTTCCTTCCGAGGATTGGCGAGATTGTGTCTCGATTAAGGGACGAGCCTCGCAAAACAGATTGGCTCTTGCAGACTGGATGAAATGGAACTAATGGCTTTAATTTAATTACAAAATTAAATTCGGAGCTTTCAGCTACCATTTTTGAAACATGGTTAGAACTGTGTAGCGAAAAAAAACATATTTTAAATCAATTAATTTATAATATTAATGCTCTGTAAATTTACATTGAACACTATTTTGTAAAAATAAAAATATCTATAAGAACACCGGATTATATATCTTACTGTTCTTTCATTTTTATATATATATATATATATATATATATATATATATATATATATATATATATATATAGATATATATGAGAGAGACAGACAGCAGACATGAATTCGAAAGTTTGAACAATATTCTTTGCAATTTTTTCTTCCGTAATGAACTTAGGGAAATTTCCGGCGGAATTTCCTTCGTGTCCGAGAAGGATGATTCGTCATTTGGTAAAGTCGATCATTAAAATTAATCAACACCGAAATGTCTGTCGTTGAAAATACTATTTGCCTTAAAGAACATTTGCAGCTCAAATATAAAGGGATATATATATATATATATATATATATATATAATAATCGACTCTCCTGTCGAGATTCGACGTATGAGGATCAAGCAGATCAGTTTCCAGGAAACCGACAGCCCGACACCGGCACATGAGATTTGATTATAGTGGTGAAGGCCTCGTGCAGGACCATCCACACTTTTTGAAGGGACGAATACAGAGACCTGGTGCACCGAATGCCACAATCTTCCCAAACGACCCTCCGCAGGTTTTGAATTCAGAGTTGTCCTTCTCCTAGACCAGTTGCCATCCAAGGCTATAGAACCCAGTCAGTCCTGCTATTTTACCCATAGCTGGAGGAGAGGAAGAGGATTCATACCTTTCCAAGGGTATTAGCACGTAAGTGAATGTAATGGATTCGACTGGAATTCGAACTCGTGCCATATATATATATATATATATATATATATATATATGGCACGGTGGAGTAATGGATAGCGGATTGAGGAATCGCAGAGCCGATATATATATATATATATATATATATATATATATATATATATATATATATATACTCAAACGCTATTTTAGTGGATACCCATAATTGAATAAAACGCTCTCTTTATTTATTAAACAGTATATTTATTTATTTTAATCAAATCGGGAAATGGAGTCAAGTTTAATATAAAGAAACATGTTTGACTATATTATTTAAATTAATGTGTAATAGGAAACATGAAACAAGCCAAGCAATCTCAAATCGTGGCATAAAATATTAGGTCACTGTAATATCCCGGACTAACAAGTGTTGTGAAAGGAATGAGTATCACAGATAAAACATATATGAAATATGTACTCTAGGTAAAATGCCTGAATTCAGATGACGAGAGCCTGATGAAAAAGCAAAATTAACCTTAGAACTTGTACATTGTGATTTAGCTGGCAGAGTAGAGGTGACTAGCGGAGAGAAATAATGATATGTTTTGACTTTTACAGATGATTATTCCGGATTTAAAATGTACTTTCTGAAATATAAAAGTAACACAGTAGAAGCCACTGAATAATTCTTGGCTGACTGTGCATCTTTCGGAATAATTAAAAAACTGAGTGACAACGGGTATGAATTTATGTAAAAAAAAGAATTCAAGTCTCTTTTAACCGGATACAGCATAAAACATGAAACCTCGGCGCCATATTCGCCTCATCAAAATGGAACTGCTGAAAGAGGATTGTGAGCATTATTTGAAATGTCTTGATGGCTGTTAATAAATGCAAAATTACCAAAAAAACCTTTGGAACTATGCTCTCTCTACAGCGACATATATCCAAAATAGATGCTACAACCACAGACTAAAATCAACACATATGAAGGATTTACAGGTAAAGAATCGAATATTCAAAATATGAACATATTTGGAACTATTTGCTATGCATATACCCATGATAAGAAGAAACTGGATCCCAGATCAGAAAAATGAATTTTTGTAGGATATGACAAATACAGCCCGGCATATTTTGTTTACTTTCAGCGGGAAGACTCTATCAGTAAGTTAGATCTGTTACTTTCACAAATAGATTTGCTATTGAAAAGAAAAAAAAGGAAAATAATTTTGAAGAAGAATTTCATCCTAGGATAAATCGCAACCAACCCGTAGAAGAAAAAATTAATGTACCTACAGATGAATATAATGATCAAAATGATCGTGAAATTTCTAGCGCTGGAAATGACAGAAATTCTAGATATCCGCTCAGACTTCGAAGAACGCCAGATTCTCTAAAGGACTACACTACTGGTGATGAGTTGAGGGACCATGATTCTGCATATCTTAATGTGGATTCTTATCATAAAATAATGGCTATTCCTGAAGCCTGTACAGAAGCCAGAAATTCCTCTGAGCCACAAGAATGGAAAAACGTAATGAACGTAGAAATTAAATCCTTTAAGGAAAAGAATACTTATGCCATAACAACTTTACCCATTGGTAAAAATGTACTTAGTGGTAGATGGATGTATATTATGAAGGAAAATGCCAACAACACAATGGATTATAAAGCAAGATATATTACTAAAGGATTTAATCAAGGACTATCATGAAACATACACACCTGCTACTAAGATGACGACAATGAGAACTTTGATGCAATTTGTTGCCAAGTATGACTTAATAGTGCACTAAGTGTATGTTAAGTCTGCATACCTTAATGCAAAAATTGATTGCGAAATTTACTTCGAACAAGCAGAATATGAAATTTCAGGAAAAGGGGAAAAAATTAGTCTACAAATTG